GCCCCCAGGAGGGGTCAGACCCATCGTTTATACAAAATTAGTTACCCTTCAACCAAGGATGCTTTAGACCAAATATGGACATAATTCTGTCATTCCTACAGAAGGAGGATTTTAAAGCCATTTTTCTATTTTCCCTCTTTCGCCCCGCACGCCCCTCTGCCCCATGGGGTTAAAACCAGCAGTTTATACAAAATTGGTCCCACTTCACCTAAGGATGGTTCGTCCCAAAATTGGATGAAATCCTGTCATTCCTACAGAAGAAGAAGAATTTTAAAGTATTTGCTTAATTAGCCCTATTGGGCCAAACCCCTCAGACCCGCATTTATACAAAGTTGATTTCCCTTCCTTAATCCCTACAGTAGAAGTAGTTTTTTGTGTGTTTTTTTTTAAATATTGTGATTTTTTTCTGGAAAATGTCAAGCTGGACTGATAGCACCAACCAGGTAGGTACCTAATGAAGGTTAACTAAAAAATTATGTTGCGAAAACATATCACACAAAACCTAATCGTTAATTAGGCCTATAGACACCTCGAGTATGGGGAATTTGACGACTGGCATAGGCAGAACAGGTTATTGGAGTAAAACGATGTTGTTTTCACAACAATAACTTTCAGAAAAGATTTAATCTTACAAATGGATAAATCTTTTCTTTTTTTTTTTTTTTAGAAAATACACGAATCCAAGCAGTTTTCTGAGCGTCTGCAAAAGTAGAGTGTGTTTACACTTAAAGGCAGTCACTCAAACAGGTCCGACAGGGACCACCAACAGCCAAATTTGAGAGACATGAAAACACCAAACAAATGTGATTTCAGCATTTCTTCTTTGAAGAGTAAAGATCTCGGAATGTAATTTGACTGTTTTGAGCCCGTTAATATTTATTTTTCAACACTTACTTTTATCATCATCGGTTTAATTGGCATGTATGCGACCTTGTAAGTTCCTGCCGGTAAATAGTACCATGCGACCAATTTCCCCATGTCATCTTGACACATTCCTACTGTTAAGACTGAATAGTTTAGCATGAATTTACCCAAGAACAGCATTTTTTACCCCAGAGTGCTAATTAGGATGCAATTCTTCGTTATATTTCCCCATACGTGGTATTAATCAATTCACAATGTAACGTCAATTAGACCTGAAAGTTGGGCCTACTTTACTCGAGTTTATTTATCCGATTCTATCGTATGATATACCTTAAACTTGCAACTTTACGTAATAATTAAATAGACAATGCAATCAGGCGTTATTCAACTAAATTTAGCAGTCTATTGCTGTGAGCATATTTCAAAACATTTCCAAAAATCCCGGAAAAATGGTCGTGACCAAGCACTGGTTTTGGCATGTTCTTGGGTATTGTGCCCACCCCTTTCTTGACAATTTAATTTTTCCTTGAACAAGCCATGGAAATGCTGACAAAGTCAATGGACCATGAAAGGTAGGCCCAATCCAGCATTTGATGCATGGGTTGAGATGTACTACAAAGTTTGGTTGGTCTAGCACTTAACTTTCAGTGAAACTAACTCTAACGCAAAAACCCGAAATTTGGAATGCCTTTAGTTTGTATGTTATTCCTGTTTCAAAAAGGAAATTGATATCTGAGTTATCCAAGAGCTTGTTATTATTAGTGCCTGGTTATATTCAACAGAAGCAAACACACGAAAGCCCTTAATAGTGATCGGCAACAGATGTCAAAATCTGGGACGAAACCAAAATTGATAGTCCCCGCTGGGGTTCCCCCAGGGGTGACTAAAAAACTTAACTTGAATATTCTTTCTCTGTACATTTTTTAAATTTTAATTACAAGAAATCATTGTCGCTTGATTTTCTTGAAAACAGAATATAAACTAGTTGATTTAGTTTACAAAAAGGGAAGATGTCAAAACATAGGACTTTTTTGCAATATTTTTACATTTCACTTCATAGCTTTAAACAGTCTAACTGGTAATTTATTCATTTTAATACAAAGGTGATCGTTTGTAGGCATCCATTGATAAGTGTGAAAGAGATGATTTGCCACAGGCAGGCATGCAGCAGATCAAGAGTGGAAAACGATTGATTTGATTATTATTTGAACTCGCACATTTTTTAAATCCTATCGGCTTCTGTTGTAATCATAAGGGGTCAGACGTTGGGGCGTTTTTTCAAAACTTTGTGAAGTTTGTGATTTCGCAGGGTTTTAATTATGACGTGTAATTTACAAAATCCGGGGATAAATTGACCCTGATGCGGGAGGCGAACCAAATTGTTTTTTTTGCTAATTTTATTGTTTTTTCCCCGTCACTACCACACACAATCCATGGTGATTGACACCTTTGTCTACTGGCCAAATATCAGCATTCTTTGTATAAGAACTGAAAGTTATACTAAAGAATTTCAACACTTGCAAACAAACTTTGCCAACATCAGGATGATCACATTCATAGTTTTTAGTTGATCATTTGTTTTCCCAATCAAGCTGAAAGTGAACCATCTCTAAGGTCTCAAAACAAGATGCCCAGAGGGCCTGTATTAGTCACCTAGATATTCAAGCAATAATGGCAAAATATTTTCATTGAAAGTAATATTGCTAATGCAAACCCAATGATAGGGCTGGATACTGGAACCAAAATCCTGGTAGCATATGTATATCCTAATCCTCATGCTTAGCAATGGTATATATTGTTATAGGATGGGGATCACAACTGTTAAGTTGAAAACCAGGATCTAAGTGTGAGGGCAAATCCTAATGACAATTCTGGTAGCATGATTGTGTTTGTCTCTTCAATGTCCAGTTGGTTAAAAGTTGGGGATATCAACCATTTCAAAGTGTTGACCCAAAGACTTAGTAGCCAGAGGTGCCTGGTGCAGACCTGGAAGCATATCGGTATATCTGTATGAGCCTTTTCAGTGATTCCTTTATTGTTATGGGGTAGGGATTAAAACTGTTTTGAGGTCCAGACCCTGGCGCTATTTAGTTGCCAAGTAATGGGCCAGATACAACCAATCCTGGTAGCGATATATATTTGTCTCTTTATACTTTAATAGCAATTGTTTATATGGTGAGGATCTGAACCATTTCCACATTATGATCCAGAAATAAACTGCCTTTTTTCCCCATATTTTCTCAAATTTTCCAACCCTATCCCTAAACACAACTCCTACACCGTCCCCCACTTCCACCCCTCGGGCTATTTCAGCCTTCATATATTCAAAATATAGTTTCATTGTACTTCTGATATTATTTTGTACAGCTTTTCAGGAGAATTAGTAAAATCTGATCCTCCCTATAACCAAAGGTGCAAGATTATAAACTGAGATGAAATCTGATCAGCCATTCTGAAGGAGTAATGTTTTGAAGGAAAATGTTGACAGCCAACCGAAGCTAATGACCTATGGCTTTAACCCTTTCACCCCTATGTAACTTTAGTAAACTCGACCATGCATTGATATGGATGAGTCCATTATGGTTTACAGTGTTGAAAGGGTTAACTCCTGTTTGGTCCAGTTGAGCCTAAAGTATTGAATGTATATGCTCTACTTCCAGGACAATGCTGTAGCTGTTGTTTTCATTTGTTGAGTTTTGGTGTAGACATACTTAGTGTTGGACTAACCAATATGTTGTGCATATTAGAATATTGCAGAAACATGTGGGCAACCATGCAAAAGAAGACTATACCTTATAGAAATCAACTTAACAGATTCAACACTCATTACATGATTATTCAGCGAGTATTGTTATTGGCCAATCAGATGCTGTGAAACATTGGAAAAGAAAGCCCTGACACAAATGAGTCTAAAGTCGGATTACAATATTTTTAAACACTAAGGTAGTGAAGAAAGTCATGTAACACAAATGTCACACCACATAAATTAATTATAAGTGCTGAAACATTCTAAAACATTTGATAAAGGAATGGTATTGACTTTTTTAACACGAGTCATGGAATATATGCCCAGAAAGCCAATGTTGTTATGACCTCATAAATGTTGAAAAATATATTTCTATGCCTTATATTATTATTTTTTTTTTAATTCCTTTAAATTTACTGATGCATAACAAATGAAACAAAATATAGGTAGTTTTCTCTATTTGTGGACCAATGCAGTACAGAGAATAGGATGGTTTCATGGGAAAACGTGAAACTTTCATAGATGTCCTAGCAACGGCATGACAACAAACCAAGCAAAAAGTATTTCCATTGTTAGCTTGTACAACATTATACCTAATTATATCCTTTCATTTGTTTTAAATACTTATAGTATTTATAACACCATTATCTTTTTTTTTGAACGTTCATTTGAATTAAGACAATTACAATTATTGTTAGGGCGGTTACACAGCTAAGTATATCAAGTAATGCTGTTGACATGTATAAACACACATTGTGATGAGGTTAACTGTGTTATGCAACAAGAGGTTATTTAAAACAACCTGTTACAAGATTTTGACACATTTGACCCCGGTGACCTCGAATGTCTGCAAGCAAGTTCATTCAGTTGAACAAACTTGGTAGCCTCTAATCCCAAATATCCACTGTGACTTTTGAATGTTGAGAAAACTTTGTTTAAGAATTTTAACATATTTGACCCTTATGACCTAGAAAATGGGTCAAGGTAATTCCTTAAAACATTGGTAGCCCTTCATCTAAACATGATATTGGCCAAATATCATCACCCTAGGTCTCTTTGCTATTTGGAAGAAATTGTTTTAAAAATGTTGGTACATTTCCCCCCTGTGATCTAGAATATCAGGAGAGGCCATTCATTTTGAACACAATTGATAGCCCTCGACTTTATCATGCTTCTGGCCAAAATCACCACTCTGTGTCTTTTGGTTGTTCAGAAAAGGTCTGGGCCTAACGATTATTGCAAAGAAGTTGTTTGCGGATTTCAATACATTTGACCCCTATGATCTTGAAAGTATATCACGGTAATTTGTTTAAACACAATTTATAGCCGATTATATATAATTTCCACCTGAAGCTTCCTTCCACAAAGTCAATAATGATATAATATTTACCAGTAGCTGCTTCACTGCCACTGACAATTGGAGCTTTTTGTGGACAGGCAGTTTGCATCCCACATTTGCAATAAAGATCTCCATCCACGTTGATGTTTGATGCAGGAAGTGTAGCAGACGCCTTTCCCCCACTGGAACACGCTGGTGTCGATGTTGTATCTATTGCTATTGATGGGTTTGACAGATCGACAACAGCCTGTAAAGTGAAGATAATGTGTATTAGTTAATGAAACAATTCATCATTTTTCACTAAAAAGAAACTTAAGTACTGAGGGCCAACATGAACATAGAAATAATTGATGTTGTAACAAATATAAGAGAGACAGAACATGCAGAAGACGTATATGGTTGGAATTTGCCCATCATGTTTATAAAGCCTGATTGATGACTAATACACAGGTGAAACAATCGTATTTTTTTTAATAACAAGGAACTTGACTAATATACTTCTCTCTAAAAGAATCATTCAAGTGTCTTCATTCAATTATAATCAAAATATGTGAAGCTTTAAACAACAACGCACATTCATACAAATCTTGGACTATAAGGGTTGATGTGACTCTCTTACAAAAGAAAAGACAGAGTAAGACAGAACTGTTCCCTTTGATAACAATACAGCTACCAGAATCAGATAACATGGTTCCTCATCAAACTCCTTGAAGACGTGACCGACGTGTTGAAGGGGGAAAAAGGTGGAAACATTCAATCCGTTAAAGTCAAGCAACAAAGCATCAGTAGTGCCCATGCTGCTGTGAATTTGGAATGGGAGACACAAATGTTATCAACTGATGATATAAAGAGGTGGCTTACAGGTCAAACTGATGATATAAAGAGGTGGCTTACAGGTCTACAAGAGGTCTGCCCCAAACCTGATATATAGCTTGGAATATGCAAGGGTGGTGCTGACACTCCAAAAAACTAGCCGAAAACTAGTTCAGTCTGCCTGGAAAATGTTTGACCAGCTGAGTGCAGATGGCCAGGTCACAAATGATGATAGACCTAGGTTTGATGTCCCTGTTTCTGTAGATACATGACAGATGTCAAGTTGTCTGTTGCCACATATACTTCCTGGTCCTGCAGATATGACTGGAGGTTTGGACGGTCAACAATTTTACATCTCAAGCATATCAATGAGCTCCGATAGCAAAGCCAGCCTAACAAGGCAAAGTATTGCAAGGTAATACATAGTCCTCCACGGGTAATGATTTCTATATTTAACAAACAGTACACTTATGTCAGGATGTAACTACTGTTAGGAAAGAATCTGAATACATAATACAACATTAAAAGGCATCTTTGTAATGGTAAAATTGTTTTGTTGCCACCAGAAGAAATTTAAAATATGGTTTTATAAATTATCAAGAGTTTGGGAAATAAACAAACATTTTGAAAAGTGAAGGTCAAAGGTCAAGTCATAGGTCACAGTGACCTAATTCTTGCACTCTGTCATCCAAAGATGTCCTTGTACACCAAATCTGGTTACTCCAGGTAGAACAGTATAGAAGATATGTCCCATATAAACTTCTCGAACAGAAGGATGGACGGCAGGAGTGCAAACCTATATTCTCCCCCAGGAACCGGTGGGCAACTAATAACCTGACAAATCCATCCGGAAAAAGCTTTATGTACAGAAATGCTAGACTGACCACTTTCAATAGGCAGGAAAGGCCTAGAATGCCATCCTTGGTTCCCCTCTGACCTGACCTGATGGATCTAGTGAACCCTCTTGCATGAGGCCACCAGAGATTGCCTCCATGCCTGAAGGTGGAGTAAGCCAGCAGGAGTGCACAAGTCTGGACCTTGATCTGATGTAACAGGTTCCACCTTGGCCGAAGGACCAGCGGCTCTTCCACCAAAAGCAAAAGCAGAGGGAACCATGGTTGCCTCAGCCACAAGGGAGCAACAAGAATTTAAGATCATGGTTGATCCTCTTACTTCCGCAGGAATTGAAAACCATTTTGAAGGTAGGAAAGACATAAGCATTCCGCCCCTTCCAGTCCAAAGACAGAGCCTCTACTGTCCATAATGCTGGAACTGAAACAGGAAACACAAGTATCGGCAACTGATGGTCTAAGGAGGTGGCAAATTGGTCTACACGAGGCCTATCCCAAACCTGGCATATTGCTATGGATACGGACGCGATGAGTTGCCATTCAATCAAAACTGGCCGAAGACCTCTGGACAATGTATCTGTAAGAATGTTGATCATGAGTCTGCCTGGAAAGCATTTGACCTGAACGATTAGACACAGTTCCTGGCAACGAAGTAGAATGCTGATGACGAGGGCACAAAGAGACCTGGTGCCCCATGCATCTGCAGCTGTTGAGTTATTTGAGTTGCCACACATCTTGGTCCTGCAGATAAGACCCGAGGTCTTGGATGACCAACATCTCAAGATCTTGTCACAGTGGACAATATATTGTGCAAGGAAACATCTTTTTCGGCATGTCCTGTATTGTCCAAACTCCTTGACCAATTGGTTGAGAGGTACAAGACCCTATGAATCCTGTTAAGTAGGAATCCAATTACTAGGAAACATTAGCAGAGGTCGGATGAGCAGCCAGCCAAAATAAACTGCATCTGCCAGGGAATAGAGAAACCCTAGAAGGCTACTTTACCAATGGAGCTGTACCACTGAACTCTGGATGAAGCCCCTGGTTTTCATGAAGCATTCTTGAGGCAGATGGACCATGCCTCTGGCTGCATTTAACCAGTAGCACAAAAGTCCTGAGAGGGGGAATCTTCTGATTTTTCATGAGAGATGATTAACCTGATATTGAGAAAAAGACTCAAGACCAGCCTAGTATCCTGCACCAAGGAGGTATTTAGCTGATATTTATTTATTAAGTATCTATATATATATATAATGTTCTGCTGGTGCAGAAAACCTTACATCTCCTGCAGTAGTATACATACTTAGAGCATTTGAAAATTTCATATGGAAGTTAAAAACTGTCAGTAGAAGTTGATCTACATAACAACTGGACTAGGCCAAATAAAATTAATTACTTGGTTCTCAGGCCAATTTTTTTCAAAATAGATGCGGCTGGGCGGTATTATTTTTTTTCATTTTACATGGCAAAAACGAGATGAGGGCGATTTTTTTTTATTGTGTAGTTTGTAAAACGTTCATTGTGGACATTACCTTGTCTATTTACAGTTGTGTAGAGACCCGTCATAGAGCAAGTCTCCGAAAATCCCCCCACAATGTTCCAGACGAGAATCACGAACCCCCCATTTCTTATTTGTACCGAAATGAAAGCCATTTGTACACAAGACTAATAAGTCATAATCCTTTTAACGCTTGCCTGTATCTCAATCCTTACATTTATTCAAACGTTTTCGGGACTTGGGTGACTAACGAGTAAAAACGACATGCGGACCAATTTTCCAGATTTTTTTAACGATGGCGGCTGGCGCCTTCATGATTTTTTTTTTATTACTTTCACGATAAAATCGGCAATGCGCACGGGCCTGAGAACCAAGTAATCTTTTTTTTTTGGCCGTAGCATGGTAGGTTTTGCTTTTGGATACAATTTTTTTCCACATCAATAATAAAACAAGGTATATCAACCTGCGTTTATCACTCTTGTTGAACTGATGCCAGTGTGTGAGGAATCTTTATGTCAAAGAAAATAAGAGTACATGGAGAAAGCACATGGCTAGGCAGGTGATCCCATATATTTTCATGTCAGATCAGGGAATCTTACCCTTGCTCATTTTCTGTGTATCCAGTTAGACGCATAATTTTTTGTAGAACTACTGGTACTGAATAAGTAGGATTTTAAACATTTATCTATTTCCCCTATTAGGCCCTTCCCCTATGTCTCCGGGTGAGCCACACCCTCCAATATGAAACATTGAATCCACTTGATCAAATGACGCTTCAGTGCTAATTTGAGTAACATCCCTCGCCCACCTGAAAGAGAAGGATTACAAGAGGCCCAAGGGCCTTAGCGGTCACCTGAGTTATATCATAGGTACTGGTAGCTTTATTTTATTGTTTAGATGTGATGTGGAAATCAGCATGTAAACTAAGTGAAATACAATACTTGTCATGTCATCAAAGGATAAGAATTTGAAAATATTGGTAAATGTTCCCTTTGGGGCCCTGCCCTAGCCCCTGGGGATGGGGTAGGAATCCCAATTTTACAANCCCCTCCCCAAGGGAGAACGAATAGCTGGGGGGTCCTGAAATTTACAATTTAAGTAAAGCCCCTGATGATCTTTCTTTCCATGCAGAGAAAATGACTGTAGTACCTCCGAGTCTGAAGAAGAAGATTTTTAAAATATTGGTTATTTTCCCTTTGGGGCCCCGCCCTGGCCCCAGGGGTTGGGGTAGGAATCCCAATTTTACAATTTTGTAGCCTCATCTACCAAGGATGATTCTGACCAAGTTTCAAAAAAAATCCATTCACTTGTTCTTGAGAAGAAGTTGAAAATGTAAAAAGTTTACGCACGACGGACGACGACGGACGGAAAGCGATTAGAATAGGTCACTTGAGCAAAGCTCAGGTGACCTAATAATGGTAATAATAACCTCTATTTCAAAGTTGAGTCCCCTTGGCCTAACAATGATTCTGACCAGATTAAGTCAACAGCAACCAAGCTACTCCTTGAGGTGAAGTATTGTTTTAAAGGAAAAAGTGAACTTCAGACATGTGAGCTAGAACTTTTAACAGGTCTAAGGGAAACTCAGTTATAATATGTTAAAGCATGATGGTTAAGAAGAGATTAACTATTGGTTTCCTAAAATATCTTACAGATGTTGTGTTGAGAAACCAGTCAATTGTGAGGTCGGATGTTCGGTAACCACAGTCTGTCTCGCACTTAAAGCTGCCATCAGAATTCTTGCTAAGAACACAGGTAGTTGGATGGTCTGCAATAAATAAACCCAATACAGAATGATAAGTAAACAAGAGGCCCAAGGGCCTTAGCGGTCACCTGAGTTATATCATAGGTACTGGTAGCTTTATTTTATTGTTTAGATGTGATGAGGAAATCAGCATGTAAACTAAGTGAAATACAATACTTGTCATGTCATCAAAGGATAAGAATTTGAAAATATTGGTAAATGTTCCCTTTGGGGCCCCGCCCTAGCCCCTGGGGATGGGGCAAGAATCCCAATTTTACAAAGTAATACTCTCATTCACCAAAGATGATTCTGACTAAGTTTGAGTAATTTTCTGCTGAAAATGGATAAAATATACCCAAAAGTATTATTTCCCTATATAAACTATAGTAAACTTTACCCCTCCCCAAGGGAGAACAATTAACTCGGGGGTCCTGAAATTTACGATTTAAGTAAAGTCCCTGATGATCTTTCTTTCCATGCAGAGAAAATGACTGTAGTACCTCTGAGTCTGGAGAAGAAGATTATTGAAATATTGGTTAATTTTCCCTTTGGGGCCCCGCCCTGGCCCCAGGGGCTGGGGTAGGAATCCTAATTTTACAATTTTGTAGCCTCATCTACCAAGGATGATTCTGACCAAGTTTGAAAAAAATCCATCCACTGATTCTTGAGAAGAAGTTGAAAATGTAAAAAGTTTACGCACGACGGACGACGGACGACGACGGACGAAGGACGACGACGGACGGAAAGCGATTCCACCAGTAATGATTTCTTTAGCTTACTTAACCTAAAAACGTGATGATTATCAAGCACATAGCAATGATTATCAGCAATTTAACGGTCACCTGAGTTATACTATAGGTAGCTTAATTTTATTGTTGAGATGTGAAGTGGAAATCAGCATGTAAACAAAGTCAAATACAACACGTGTCATGTCACCAATGAAACAAACTTTAAAAACTCTTCTTTAAGCCAAAGGCTAACTAATACAACCAGCTGTTATATAAACAAGAACTGTAAGCTAAAGGCTTACTAAGGCAAAGCAATATAGTCTCCCACCAGTAATGATTTCTTTATTGACTGAGCTGAACACTTAGGTCACTGACATACTTCCTGTACTCCCTCCCCATGCCAAAACATACTTACATACCAAATCTTGTTAGCCCAGATGAACCAGTTTTGCTAAAATTGTCCTATTAGTTAAGGAAAAGATGTCAGGATAAAGATTTTTAACAAAGGGCCATAACTCCTTAAAAAGGGTCTAAAATGAAAAAAAATACTAGCCTGATGCACAACATCGGGGGGTAATTACAACATCTGTAAGCTTTCAATGGAATCGGCCCAGTAGTTTATGAGGCAGACAAAGGGCCATAACTCCTTTTAAAAGGGTTGGAATGAAAAAGTACTACTTGGATGCACAATGTCAGGGAGCGATTACCACATCTGTTAAAAAAAAATGAAATTGGCCAAGTAGATTCAGAAAAGTTGTCAGGACAAGAATTTTCGACAAAGGGCCATAACTCTGTATAAAAGGGTTGGGGAAAAAACCTGGATACACATATCTGAAAACTTTCGTTGAAATTGGCTGCATAGTCTTGGAGGAGTTGTCAGGACAAGTATTTTTCAACAAAGGGCCGTTACGTATACTCCAAAAAAAGGGACAGATTTGAAAAATAAAACCTGGATGCACAATATCAGGTGGTAGTTATCATATGTGAAAACTTTCATTGAAACTGGCTCAGAAGTTCTGGAGAAGTTGTGCAGGAAAGCATTTTTCAACAAAGGGCAATAACTCTGTGTAAAAGGGTCAGAATGAAAGAATAATACCTGGATGCACAACTTCAGGTGGTAGTTATCATATCTGGAAAGTTTCGTTGAAATCGGTCCATTACTTTAGAAGGAGTTGTCCGGACAAATTTTTTTTACAGACAGACAGACAGACAGACAAGCTGATTCCAGTATACTCCCTAACTTCGTTGTGGGGAATATAATAAATCATTTTGCTATTGAGAAATATAATAGCCATTGTCATTTAGCCAATTTTCCTCTTTGGCCTACCCCAGGGGTAGGTCACATATTTGACTGCTATGGCCTTGGAAGTAGGTTAAGGTAATTTATTGGAGGAAACTTTATAGCACCAGATCATAGTATAATACTGCTTAAGTTTAATTACCAAATGTGTCCTAGTTATTCAGAAGAAGTTGTTCAAAAGTTTCAACAAAGACCACTGTGACCTTCAATGTTCATAGCACTACATCATATAGGTACCTGCGGGCAATATATCATCATTCTTGGCCTCTTGGTTATTTAGAAGAAGTTGTTGAAAGGTTTTAGACACCTGAGGTCAAGGTCATTTATTTGGACAGACAAAATACCATACCATGCTCACAGGCACTCACACTAAGTAATAACACTTTTAACATATCAGATGATATTTCTAGTAATCAAATCAACAGATTCTAACTCATTTACAATCCTAGAGTGATAATTAATTCACATTTTTGTAGATAAGTCATGCCAAGAATGATTTACTCTGTGTGATGAACAAGAGGCCAAATGGGCCTGCATCGCTCACCTGGTATTAATCTCACAATTGTAACCTTAAAAGTGGACTAAAACAAGATGCCCAATGGGCCTGAATCGCTCACCTGGTATTAATCTCACACTTGTAATCTTAAAAGTGGACTAAAATACAGCTACGGGCAGAATATCAGTGTTTGATTCATAAGAACCTATTAAAAGATTTAAACATATGATGCCTGTGACCTTGAATGTCGAACAAGGACATTAGGTTGAACAGAGTTATAGTCTTACAACACAGCATGCTTTTGGCAAAATATTTTGAAGTAATTTAAAGATTTAAACATATAATGACCACTGTGACCTTGAATATGGACAAAGGTCATTCATTTTAACAAACTTGGTAGCCCTTCATCACAGCATGCTTCTGCCCAAATAGCATCATCCTAGGCCTTTTGGTTAATGAGAAGAAGTTGTTTAAAGGTTTTAAACATATTTGACCCCTGTGATCTTGAATATAAGTAAAGGTCATTCATTTGAACAAACTTGGTAGACCTTCATCCCAGCATGTTACTGGCTAAATATCATTATCCTAGGCCTCTTAGTTATTGAGAGGTTGTTTAAAGGTTTTAAACATATTTGACCCCATGACCTTGAATACAGGTATATTGAGAAGAAGTTGTTGGAAGATTTTAACATATTTGACCCCTGTGACCTTGAAAGTGGGTCAAGGTCATTCATTTGAACAAGCTTGGTAGTCCTTCATCCCAGCATGCTACAGGCCCAATATCAGTACCCTGGGCCTTTCGGTTATTGAGGAGAAGTTGTTTGTTGATTTTAAAACATTTGACCCCCGTGACCTTGAAAGTGGGTCAAGGTCATTCATTTGAACAAACTTGGTAGCCCTTCATCCCAGCATGCTACTTGCCAAATATCATCAGCCTGGGCCTCTTGGTTATTCAGGAGAAGTTGTTTAAAGTAACAAGAGGCCCATGGGCCTTAACGGTCACCTGATATATTTATACAGAGAGTTTATATTTGTTTTTAACATCAACAGAAATATTATTCAAAGTGACAAAAAACAATAAAACCACCGTATTCAATATCTAGCATGCAGATTTAAGACTGAAAAGAATTTGAAACTAGCACCTCTGATTCTAAACAAGGAAAATGAAGAAATTTTATTTTAGCACACGGACTCCATTGGGCCCCACCCTACAGCCCTTTGGGGTAGGGATGGCTCAAAATTTACAAAGTATCAAACTGTCAACTTAGGGTTATAATTCCAATCAAGTTATCAACATGAAATATTCAAAGTATCATTTGCCATTATAAACCATAACAAATTTTGCCCCCCCTCCCCTCCTTCCCCAGGGAGAAACGTTAGACCCCAGGGTCATGAAATTCGCAATTTTGGTAAAGCACCTTAAGACCCTTCCATCTATTAAGGGTATTTGATTACCATATCTGGGTCTTGAAAAGAGGATTTTTGAAATTTCAGTAAATTCGACCCTTTTTGGCCCCACCCATCAGCCCCTGGGGGTCAGTCAGGGCTGATATGTGCATACCATCAAACTGCTATCCAATACAGTTAATGCTAACCCAAATTGAATTACTTCCAATGGCAATTAAACAAATGTTGGTCCAAAATGTGATTTCCCTATGTAAACTATAGTAAAGTTTAGCCCCTCCCCAGGGGAAAACGTGAGACCCCAGGGTCATGATATTCACAATTTTGGTAAAGCACCTTAAGACCCTTCCATCTATGAAGAGTATTTGATTCTACCATATCTGGGTCTTGAGAAGAAGATTTTTGAAATTTCAGTCAATTCAACCCTTTTTGGCCCCACCCATCAGCCCTGGGGGGTCAGTCAGGGCTGATATGTGCATACTATCAAACTGCTACCCAATACTGATAATGCTAACCTAAATTGAATTACTTCCAATGGCAATTAAACATGTTGGTCCAAAATGTGATTTCCCTATGTAAACTATAGTAAAGTTTACCCCCTCCCCAGGGGGAAACGTGAGACCCCAGGGTCATGAAATTCACAATTTTGGTAAAGCACCTTAAGACCCTTCTATCTATGATTCTACCATATCTGGATCTTGAGAAGAAGATTTTTGAAATTTCAGTCAATTTTACCCTTTTTGGCCCCGCCCCTCAAGCCCCTGGGGGCTAGGGACCATATAGTTCACAATTTTAGTTGACCTTTGGCCATGGAAGGTTTCTGCAAAATTTCATTGAAATTGGTTCAGGGGTTTTGGAGAAGAAGTCGAAAATGTAAAATTGTTTACAGACGCACGACGGACGACGACGGACAAAAGGTGATCGCAATAGGTCACTTGAGACTTTGTCTCAGGTGACCTAAAAAAGTTGACGACGGACGGACAGTGGACGCTGCACCATGCCATAAGCATAAGCAAGTTTGTTGTCTTGCATATATACTCATAAGCTCTTGACATGTTTGACTTCAGATTCCAACATTGCAATATTTTATAAATAGACTGCTTTGTCATGAAAAACTTTTTGGAACAAGAATTCCACGGAAGTGGATGTGTCGCCTGCGCAGGAAGCTGGGAGATTACGAAGAAATAGATACACTTTTCATTTCAAGAATTAATGTTAAAAGTAAGCAATAATCATAGATTATGTTTTTGGATGGCATCATTTTGTTATATAAACTGTTATTCTAGGAAGAATACTCAGAGTTTTAAGGAACTTGCTATGGATACTCATTGTCTCAATTCCAACTTTAATTTGTATGATTTGTCGGATGGTTTCCCATAAATAAATGAATAAACTTGTGGATTATGATGTTAAACAGCTAGTGTTGTCAATAACATTTGGAGTAAGACGGCATTTCAGGGGTATACACGGTGGGTCAAGTGGTAGATCGAAGCCGTCCAGTATACAGTTTTAGTGAAGTTTCTATTTATAGTAACAGTGACCTTGACCTTTGACCTTCGGTCCTGAAAAGCAATCCCAAGCAAGCAGTTTTGGTAAGGAAGCACTACATGAAGTTTGAGTTTGATCGGCCTAAGGAAACTCAAGTTATTACACGAAAACCTCTGTTCGGACGCACAAAGCAATACCTATGTGTCACCAGCTTTTCGCAGGCGACACAATAATCACATATCATAACGATGTTTAAATCACTCCTTTCCTGAATGTAGAATGATTTGAACACTTTCCACATTTAATTACTATCTTATTTTCATGCTTCCAGAATTCCCGAAAGAGGTCCATCTGAAATACACTTTCTTGCTTTTATTAATTAAGAAACTCTCTTTTTTCTCACATGTACAGCAATAAATCCACTAAACACATTAAATACATGGCTCCAGAAAACTTACCTCTAACAACCAGGTTCACAGTTGAAGCAGACTGCCCAAGCTGTGTGCATTTCCATGCTGTTTCATCATCAGCCCTTGCCAGATTTGTAATAGTCATATATGTCCCATTTGCATCTGATGTTACAGAATAGCGACTATTAGCAGAAGGACTACAACCAGTTGATATACAACCTGAGATGTCTCCAACAATGATGTCATTGCTCCATGCTATAGGTTGTGTAAATTCTGCAGATGGTAACGTACAGCTTAATGACACCGACTCCCCAGAAAATCCACACGTGTCTATACTTAATGAGGTGCCACAAAGACCTACAATAGAGAAACATATGTGTGTATGAAGTTAACTAATACAAGATGTCCAAAGAGCCTGCATCACACAACTGGATATTTCAACATCCATAGCAAAAAAACCAAGAGGCCCAGAAGGCCTGTATCGCTCACCTGTTTCTTTTGTTACATGAAACTGACATATACCGTATTTTACCGCCAATAAGCCACATCCCCCTCCCCCACCCCCCA